ATGAATGCAATGCTCATAGAAATTCCAAGATTCTTCATAAGATAAATAGACAAAACAATCTCAAAAATCATATAGGAAACACACACACACACACACACACACACACACACACACACACACGAAAAAAAAAACCTGGATAGCCAAAGCAACCCTGAAGGAAAAAGAACGATGTTGGAGGTATCACCAGACCTGACTTCAGGCTACACTATAGAGCATGGTCCCACAACAAAAGTACACACATTGATCAATGAACACAAAAGAGAACCACAAACATGAACACACACAGCTACAGCCACAGGACTTTTCACTAGAAATACATATCGGAGGAAGACAGGCTCTTCAACAAACTGTACTGAGAAAACTAGGTACCGATGTGCAGAAGAATGAAGCTAGATCCATAGCTGTTCTGTGTAAAAATTGACTTCCAAATAGATTCTAAAAGAATTAAACACCTTAATGTGAGGCCTGCAACCCTGAAATTGTTACAAGAAAAAAAAAAAGACAACATTCAAGATGTAGGCATAGGGGAATACTCCCTGAATAAGACTGCAGGCTTCTTCACAGCAAAGGATACAGTGAGTGAAGAGAGAGAGATCTGCTGAGAAATACAGGAATCCCAGACAAACTGAGAAAGGCAGGAACCCCAGACAAGCTCAAATGGTCTAGGAAAACGTGTTTTCCGAATGTGTCTCTTGGCAAAGACAGTAAACAAACTGCCTATTTAGGGCTGGAAGGTGTATTCCAAAGACATCTCAGTTACAGATGTCAAAGACAGTCAAGAATCTTTGCTTACTCAGGGCCAAATTGATGGATGGCCTTAAGTACTCTTCTCTCTCTTTCCTAAATCTAAGTAATACACATTCACCAGTCCGCACTCCAGCTTAGTTTATGAGAAAAACAAATTCTCTATTCAAATCTTGAGTAAATTACACTTTGTAGATTCTCAGTTACAGAACTGAGAATTCAACAAGATCATCACAAACACACACACACACACACACACACACACACACACACACACACACTTACAAAAACACTTGAGGGACTATGGAAATGGCTCAGTGGTTAAGAGTGTGTACTGCTCTCACAGAGGACTGGAGTTCAGTTCCCAACACCCACAACCTGTGACTCACAACCACATCTAACTCCAGCTCCAGGGATCTGACACTCTCTTCTACCTCTGCATGCACTGCACTCATGTACACAAACCCACACACAAGCACGTGCATATATACGTATATTAATTAAAAATGAAATCTTAAACACACACCATTGAGCATGACTCCCTGGAGATACTCACATTCTTGGCATCAGATTTGCTTTATTCTTTCTGGAGCTCTTTTCTGTTTCTAATAAAATTCTACTCAGTCCAATATTGCCTCTCCCGCCCTGAAACTCTGCTTTATTGACATTAGGGGGCACACATCCCAATCATGCCTCATGAGAGACCTCTTAAAAGGACTCCACAGGCAGCTGGTACTGTGTGGTAGGAAGTCCTGTCCATATAGTGCCCATTGCTGATGGAGCTACCTGAGAATCTTGTTGGAAATGCTGGTTTTAGACACATTACGTTTTACCTTTCAAGAGTGGATGCTGTTTTGTACACCCCAACTCAGTGTAATTCAGTTCTTTTGTAATTGCTTTTTCATCAAGAAGCTGAGAATGTTTTTTAAACATAGCTGTAAAACAGAATAAAAACAATTCATTTTCCTGGTAGTGCTAAGACTCAACTCTTCACTTTTACATTCTTATATTCTTTGTAGAAACAGAACCCATAATTATCCAATTGCCTGAGTCATTAGAGCCTGCCTGGGAAAGATTCTCCATCACCACAGAGTGTGGAGGCTGTGGTCCTAACACTTGGGAATTAGAATGAGGAAAAATGGAAGTTTCAGGTACCTTAACTATACAAGTTAGTATAGTTGGTTCGTTGGTTTAGCTAGCTAGTTATTTTAGTTTAGTAGGCTGTTGGTTAACTTAGTTGGTTGGTTAGTTAGTTAGTTAGTTAGTTAGTTCATGGCTAGCTTGGGCTATATAAGACCTTACCACAAAGAGAGATACTTTTCCAATCCCTCAAAGCCAGCATTTCCCTGCTCCTAGTGATTTATGACCACAGATATCTTCAGGAAGAGCTGGAAGGACAGGACAGAACCATGACCCTGGGGACTCTTCAACATTTCATGGAGGACACACTGAAGACTACATCTTAGGTGATAAGTTCTATTAAGTAGGTGTGAACCCCAGGAATAGTGAGGGAGAAATGAACTAATTCAGAGCAGTTCCAGGTTACCTGAGCAGGAAAGTTATAGAAGCCCAACATTGATCAAAAGGACTTGGTTCTCGTCCTCTTTTTCCTGCATCTCCCTCGCCCCAGCTAGTTCTGACTTCCCAGTGACCCCACACTTTCACGGTGTTCCTAACGTAAAACTAACTCACCTTTCCTCTAGAAATGGAATTTTCTTTCTTCTCTTCCTCATCTCCCACTTGTTCCTGGAGTCACTAGATTCTGGCTTTCCCTTCTGCTAATGTACCAAACATTCCTGAACTAGATGTCAAGGGCTCCTCATGTCCACTGATCAGTCATCTTCCTGTGGGACTTCTCACATTACCCTGCCCACTTCTCTTCCTCCATAACTGGTGGGAGACAGTGGCTCCCTCTGGCTTTGCCTGGTCCTGTTTGCTGCTGTTTCCTGTGTTCTTTCCTGCCTGTTTCCTTCTACACCCACCTCTCTTAAAATGGAACTTTGCATCCAGTTCCTTCTGTATCACTTTCTCCTCCAAATACCTCTTCTTTAGTGATATTCATTGTCATAGGTTGTTGGGGTGGGGGCGGGGAGTAGAAGTGGTTGCTTTTTTAGTCTATTTTGTTATCTGCTAAAAAGATCCTCTAAAATGTATTCCTCTATCTTAAACATGTTAATATGCATCCAACTAAACTGTGCAACTGAGATTTTGGTGAATATAATCCAAATTTAAATCATCATATTCCAACTCAAACCTGCTGCTCATCTTCTTCCTCTTCAAATAACTTCATGACTGCTGACTTTATGAAATAGAATATTAAACTTGTAACTCACTCCTCTGTTTCCCCTATTTTCAGTTATCAGTATTGCCCGAAATGTCACCTCCTTTTGGTCCAACTTCTCTCCTCTCCTGTGCATCACTCACATGATCTTTGGATCAAGCCCTTAGTGCTGCTCAAACGGATTCTGAATTAGTGTCCTAATTTCTCCTTCCCTTCGTTTTCACACTCTGTAAGAGCACACTTCTCTAAGTCAGTTTTAATTTTATCACGTCCTGCTTCAGATTTTTCAAGGAATCTCCATAACTGTTACACATTGAAAAACTGGACACACTTCTCACCTTCTCTGTATGAATACCCACTTGGACTATGCCTTTGCAGTTCCCTACAAAGAAACTGGTCAAATCTACATCACCTCATCTGAGCTGCCTTTAAGAGTGCTTTGGCCACTAAAACACACAAAGGCAAATGTGTGTGTACTCCATGTTGAGCTTGGCTTACTGCCTCCATCCATCCTGGAACTCTGAAGTTGCCATAGGAAGCTGGGTTGTCTGTTACTGATGTATGACTCCATGAGAATAAGTTCACCTAGGACCATGGGAATCTCCAAGAGAGATCAGCCTCGGCAAAGCCACCAAGCAAGAATTAAATAAATATTTCAATTAACCTACTAAATTTCAAGTTGGTTAGTGGTTGAGCAACAGCTACTGAATAAAATAACATTAAGAGGGGATGCATATGTAAGATGGTATGCACTATTTTGTGATCTGAGTCCAGTTTTGTCTGCCCCTACAGTTTCAGTCTTAGTTCTCCATTGTTGGAGCCCATGCAGATTTCCTAGGACTTTACCCAGCAGGTCTGCATAAAGAGGATGATTGGGTCATGGAACTGAGTACCAGGTGTCTGAGATGGTCTCCACTTGGCTGTGCTGGGGTGGGGGGTCTTTTGCTCCATCCCTTCGTATTCCTTTGACAGAGACAGTGAGGGCGTGATGGATTAGGATCCAGGCCCTCTCAAGTCTACCCTGTATTGTCTATCTTTTTCTCTCCCCTCTATCCTTCTATCTAATATTTCCTGCTGCTTCTACTCAAGAGTACTCTTGGGAAATGTGGGGTGTGATGACCCTCACAGATGGCACCAGTGAACAGAAACTAAGACATAAAGAAAAAAATAAAAATATTTCTGTCCCCTCTATCCTTCTGTCTAGTATTCCCTGCTGCTTCTACTCCAGAGCACTTGGGGAAAGTAGAAGTTTAGACTCTGCCAGTAAGCAGTTGTTCTGATCCAGTTTTGTAGTGAAAAAAAAAAATTAAATGAGGTGAGGGTTTTATCCTCAGAAGAAAAAGAAAAAGGGGACTGGAAGGAGTCCGAATATAAGGCTGCAGTATAGAATCTTCTGTATCAAGATTTCTCTCCTTTTGTCTCTCTCTTAATTTACCTATGAAAAATAAGGAAAGTAGGAAATAGAAATATAGTGTAGGAGCAAGAGGTGAGTGACTCTGTTCACACCCAGGGAGGCCTGCCCCAAGGACCCATCCCTGGGCCCCAGCTGTTTCCCGAGAACACCCACCCAAATCGACCCCAGTGGCCAGCCAGCTGGCAGAGCTCCTGCAGAAAGGTTCCCCTTCTCCAAGACCCCCCCAGCGGACCCTACAATCTACACACCCTGCCCCCATAACCATCCGCCCCAGACACCCGCCACTTCCTGAGGCTTGGAAACAAACCCCCAGCTCTCATGCGGACCAGAGAGAGAGCTCTTGTTGGACAAAGAGCTGTCTTTGGACCAAGAGTAACCTCAGCAAACAGGGAATCTGCCAACCCTCCATAGACCAAGAGTGGCTTTCTGAGAAGTAGAATCTGCCACCTCTTATTGGACCAAGAGAAGTTTCCTGAAACACAGACTCTGTCAGCTCTGACTGAACCAAGAGCCCTGATAAGAACAAATCCGTAAGTCACAGAATCAACTAGCTTGGGTTGACCCAGGAACAGCTCCCTGAGACACAGAAGCTGCCTGCTCCAATTAGACCAAGAACTAAGATT